TCTTTTTTCTTTTTTCTTTTTTTTTTTTTTTTTTTTTTTTTTTCTTACCTCGACCATATCTTTCACGATAAAAGAACTCTTTTCAGTTGGCTATAGTTTTGAAACTACTCAATCACTATCATCATCGCTTCTTGGTTTCTTCCTTTAGGATTAAGGTTTATCTACTCGCTTCATTGAAACTATTCACTATCTATTTCTTTTCAGATGATGCCACTAGTCTTTCGTTGTTCAATAGAAAAACAAAAAACAAAGAGCAAGAATCTAAAAGAGAAAAAACGATTTTTTTTCTTTTCGTCAAAAATTATTTGACATTTGGCTCACATCCCATCTTCTTCTTCTTCTTCTTCTTCTTCTTCTTCTTCTTCTTCTTCTTTTTACTTTTCTCTCATTTTTATTTGTGATTACTTTTCACTCGTACATTCGATCATGAAAAAGAAAGTTAAATCCATCAAAAAAATCTACATATCTATCTATCTATCTATCTATCTATCTATCTATCTATCTATCGATCTATTCATCCATCTCTCTTCAATTTTCTAATTCGCTCTGTGTTACTTTCTACTTTATAATTATACACCCCATCAACCCGTTGTTTTCATACGTTTGTACGTCATCCGTATTGTCCGTTATTTCTAGTTAATTAATTACGTTTTCCATTGTTACCGTTGGAGTGCTATAATATGTGTGCTTATATTTATATACTCTTTGTATTTTGCTTTTCATTCACGCTAAATATAATTCTCTTATACGTGAAAATTCTTTCTTTCTCTCTCTTTCTCTCTCTCTTTTTTTTCTCTCTTCCGTTCTAACTATAGGATTTATACCTTGTTAATTATACCGTTATAAAATTAAGATAAACATTTACTTTCATAACTTCATTTCCCATAACATGTCGCGCATAATTAATAAATTGATTATTTATTTATAATATACATATTATAAACTAAATAATATACACACTGTATATTATGATATAATCCATATTGCAATCTAAATTATATTAAAGGAATAGGTTAGTTAGATTATTTTCTTACGTTTCTTTTATCATTCGTTAACGAACTCATTGAGCCATAATGTCAAACACCATTGGAAAGGAGAAACGAATAAAGGAGATCATTGTCGGCTTTTGATAATATTCCTGATGAAGTTGATTCTCCTTGTAAATCGAAAACGAATTATCAGAAAGAAACGTTTAACGCGTTTCGACGACTAATTGCAAGAGAGAGAGAGAGAGAAAGAGAGCAAACCCTAAAATTAAATCCATCTAAATCTCGACGTTTATAATGTCCCTTTCTCGATAATCTATTACTGAACGATCTTCCAATCAATATACGTGTTTCAATAGTTAATAGAATATTCAATGGATATTACGATAAATGTTATTAACTGTTTATATCGAATTTTTTTCTTTTTCTTTTTCTTCTTTTCTTTCTTTTCTTTCATAGATACATTTCAACTTTTTAATATACGAATTATATATTATTTACTATGAAGATGAAACTTTTATAACATTCATAAAATTCTTTTCACGGGTAAAATATATAATAGATACAGTCACTTGTATTAAAATTAATATCGATAAAATAAATTCAATTTTGAAATGATAATCAACGTACAATTTTGATAAAATTCTATGTTGAAAGTTGTGAATTGAAAAATGTTTTTTTTTTTTTTTTTTTTAAATAATGAAAGAAATATAACGTTCGCGTGACGACATCGTAATACATTCGTCGAGCGAGCGTATAATACGAATGTCAATGATAAACGTAACGTTTATTTTCGATAAACAATAAATCGAAACGTGAACGTGGTTGTTATGATGGCAATAATCAAAATATACACTCGCCTTAGAGGTTATCGGGCGATCCTGTTACTTAGATTTCCGTCGCTCCGGAAAACGCATATTCGCTGACCCGAATAGGAAAATCGTGAGGGGTGAGAGAACCAAAAAAAAAAAAAAAGGAATATGAGTGTAGAGGGGAGAGTGAGAGAGAGAGAGAGAGAGAGAGACGAAGAGAATAAAAGCAACGCCGGAAACAACGGCCGTGGTAAGCTGAACACATAAATCTACACGATAGATGAGCCGGACATCGAAGAGAATGTTTTTGGTGACCCGAGCTTAAATGACTAGCCGAAGGTACGAGCGACGATGCGAACGATGAAAAAATCGTTTTTGGTGTCGTACAGCCCTATAAACCTAAAAAAAAGAAATTGTATGGACAGCATAAACGATAGTTTCGATGTTTCGACTCGGCTCGGCTTGGACATGTCCAGCCTATACGTCAACGCGAGATAAAAAGGGTATAACCTGGGAAAAGATTTATTATTCGTTAAGGTTCTTACGAATTTTTGTATCTTCCACAATTCATTTCTTTCTTTTCCATTTCTTCTCCTTCATTTTCCTATTCTTTTTCTCCTCTTTTCTTTTTTTTCTATCTTTTTTTTTTGTTTTTCTTTTTTTTGTTTTTTCTTTTTTATTCGTTCCTTTTTTCTTCTTCCATTTTATCTTCTTTGATCATCGAACGTATGCAAATCTATTTGATCAACTAAACTATGAATGTATGTGTGTTACGTATGTATGTATGTATATATGTATACATATATGTATACGTAAGTACTATTTTACTATTACGTACATTCGAGTGTACATATGTACATATGTTCAGGAATGATAAGGGGCAAGTAAACAAGACTGTGTAAGAAGGTAAACGCTAGAGTTTCGACTATAGAGAGAAGAGTACTTTAGTGAATATTCTCTCTTGGCTACCTATCCATTCGTTTCCCTATCGTCATTCTATAGTATTCTCATAGTTTAGTTTACCGATAATCCGTATCGATTCTAGTCAGAGAAAATGAAGATTTTATTAGAGCTTAAAATTTCGTCAATACTCTATAATGAAAATAATTTTCTAACAAATCTGTATACGTATATATGTGTTTGTGTTTGTGTGTGTGTGTGTATATATATATATATATATATAGTAACAGTAATTATTCATTAAAAATGATAGATATCGATTGATTAAATTGGTTCGATAGGACATACGTTTTAACGTATTGTTAATTAATCGAAATAATTCGTCATTCGATGACCATTCTAATAACGCCAAAGCTTCGAACGTTAATCTTCTAACATCTGTAAAAGCTAATCATTTTCGAAATGCATTGGATAATCAAAAGGATCGATAACACATCGTTTGACATCAATCAAATATAATTTTTCTCTATTTGAATCATATCTTTTGAAAATATTTTTCGGTCTTATGCTTCCACAAGATAATATCGATATAATATCGTCGTTAGAAAAATATGTCGGTGGGATAAACATCGCATGTTGGTATTTCACCGAGTTGTATTTCACTAAATCAAGAAAATTCTCTCTCTCTCTCTCTCTCTCTCTCTCTCTTTCTTGCTCTCTCTCTTAGAAATTTTAAAAATCTTCGACTCTCCAAATTCTTCCAAACTCTTTCTATACACGTCACTTCTATTCCGAGTCTCAGCATTTCGGAAAATATTTATTCTCCTTCGCATACCGCAACTCGACTGGTCATATTTTATAAAATACATTTCATTCGTCTGCACCCCTTCCTCTTTCTCTCTCTCTCTCTCTCTCTCTCTCTCTCTCTCTCTCTCTCTCTTTCATATTTTCCATTTCTATTCTGAACTCTATTTTTAATACTAGCGATTTCTTATACGATATGAAAGTATTCTTTCGTCGTCTTCCATCGTAGAATTTGCATTATAAAAATATTGAAATATTTAAGAAAATAATAAATTCAATAGATAAGAACACAAAGGTATATGAATCATTTTACAAGATTTTTAAAAAATATTAAAAAGTATAATTCGTATGAAAATTTTTTCATTAATTTACTCGTCAATTATTTAATTCTCCTTCCTTTTTTGATCCATGGATCATACTTTTCATCGAATAAGAGCAAAGGAAATGAATCTCTATAATTTTCCTTTCTTCTTTCAACGAAATAAATTTCTCTAGTTTAGCAGTAATTTTTAGATAC